CCTTCCTTCGAATTTCCATCTTCGCCAAGGTCACGGACATTCACCTCGATAAACTGCTCAGCTGGGATGACATGCGCGACTCTGCGGAAAAGCCTAAGCAGAAGCGCCGTCACGCTCGGTTACCGGAGTCGGAGTTCTACACAGAGGATACACATGACATCTTCTCACGAATCCAGATTCAAGAGATTACTGATGACGGGACATACCAACCCGTTGAGGTAACGCAGAGCAACGTTATGGATGCTGGGGTATACCAACTCCACCAGGGTCTAGCGCGCCGCATCGTTGTCAACCTCACCCACACTTCGGGAGACACAATACAATGGGAGGATGTCAAATCGCTGCGCATGGGTCACATCCGATTGGTCGATGCAGCTGGCAACAGTCCTAACTACGGCTCACCCGTAAAAGAAGTGCCTGTCGATCTGACATCCCCGCCTGTCATCAGGAAGAACGCCGATGGCACCACAAATGTCAAATTTGTAGGACGATGGGACAGTACGGCTCACGCGTCTCAAATTCTCGATCGGGCGACAAAGGATAACTTCCGCGTGAAAGTCACGCTGCTGTTCGACGTTACATCTTCCAAGCTTATCGAACCGATGTCGTTCTCCTTCGACCTCTTCGTACAAATCCGGGGCCGTTCTTACATGCGCCAGACCTCTCTCTTCTCGTTGGCGAACATCTGGAATACGGTGAAGGTCGTTCACTCGACAGTAGGAATCTTCAACGTTGCCATTCGCCCCACCTCCGTCAAGCGTGCGACAGATCTCTGGCGAATGAACACGAAAGACGACTACGTGAAGGGTGAAGAGCAGCTCGCAGGCTGGACGCCGCGCGGTGTTTCGCTGGTACGCGACTTCATCCACATAGAAAAGCGCCGCGCTCGGATCGCAGAGATAGAAACAGCGCGTTCTGTCTTGTCGTCCAAGGCATTGAGCATACCTGCTTCCGCACTTGCTTCCTCAAAGGATAAGCCCTTGGAAGAGGCTCAGATAGCACTCCTCCAACGCATGGTCTCGCTCTGGAAGACCAAGAAAGCGCCTGCAGAAATCATCCTCAACCCCACGAATCTTGAGCCTCCTACCAACGGCGCCGCCTTTGCGGCACGCTCTCCTTCTCCATCGCCAAACCCAACCCCAAGTTTGACAGCTACCGTCCGCTTCATTAGCAAGAACCCTAACTTAATGAAAGCGTCCTACCTCCTCACCCCAGATCCGACGAACACGCGCTGGATACGGCGATACGTCGAACTACGAAAGCCATACCTCCACATCTACTCATCAGACGGCGACGAAATCAACGCCATCAATGTCAGCACAGCGCGTATCGACCATTCGCCGCAAATCGCGAAACTTCTTGGAGGTGGACAGCAAAGCAACGGCCAAGCAAATGCCGGCGCGCACAAGGACGTTGTCTTTGCTGTCTTCGCGAGAAGCAACACGTACATCTTCCGAGCGCGAAGCGAGAGGGAGAAGATCGAATGGATATTGCGATTAGATCAAAGTTACTTCAGCAGCGAAGGAAGCGAGGCGTCGACGTGAGGACGCGTAATGAGTATTTGGCTGGAAAAGTTACATGTAGACATTCGGCGCCATGTGGAAAGGGTTTTAATTCTTGTACCGAAGTTGTAGAACAGTGGAAGACGGTCGGTCAAGGTGTTGTTGTTGCTGTCCCCGTCAGGCTTTGGCGTTATAGTCGGGCTTTTGTATAGCTTTTCTTGGGATACCCAGAGTATAGTTGATACTCGTTTTGCGCGATAATTTAGCGTAGAGATTCTGTCAATTCAGCTTCATTGCTAGACTATAGTTTCGTTCTGGCCCTGATGGTGTTCGTCTTTGCAGTAGTTGCACCTTGTTGCACTGCGCGCAGCTCACCCCGCAAACACTAGCCTGTTTCTAGAACCCCTCACACGCGATTGCCCGAGGCTAACCTTTGGATCGACGCAGCTTACTCGCACACGATCAAGACGCCAATGTATGCCTTTATTAGCATGATGGATGTTACGTATTTACCTGTACGCGACGCGATAGCTGAGGTCGAAGGGATTAGGAAAAGCACGACCCACAATGGCCAACACACAGAAAGAGAAGACGCAACATGATCTTGACGACCAAAAGCTTGGCTTGTACCTGCAGCAAGAAATACCCAGTTTGAAGACGCCCGTGCTATCGACAAAGATCGGATACGGACAAAGCAATCCGACATACTATGTCGATGATGCCGCTGGTACACGCTACATTCTGCGGAAGAAACCCAGCGGTACCATCATCTCGCCTGTAGCACACCAAGTCGATCGAGAGTACAAAGTCTTGAAAGCACTTGGAACGGTTGAGGGTTTCCCAGTCCCGAAAGTATACTGCCTATGTATGGATGCATCAATCATTGGAACAGCGTTCTACGTATGTCCCAGCTACCCTCCAGACAAACGCTTCCAATCTGACATGCCTACCTCTCCACTAGGTCATGGAGTACATCCAAGGCCGTCTAATCACCGACCCCAACCTCTCTACCCTGCCACTCTCCGACCGTCGCGCAGCATGGGAATCCGTCATCTCAATCCTAGCGTGGCTACACTCCATCAACCCCGACGCCATCGGCCTCACCTCCTTCGGCAAGAAAACCAACTTCTACGCCCGCCACTGCAACACCTTCTCCCTTATCGAAGCCCAACAAGCCCAAGTCCGCGACATAACCACCGGCCAGCAACTCGGCCGCGCGCACCCGCATTTCGACGAAATCGTATCCTACATACGAAGTCACCTACCCCAGGAGCGCACCTGCATCATCCACGGCGACTACAAGTTTGATAACATCATTTTGCATCCTACTGAGCCCCGGGTGGTTGCTATCTTGGATTGGGAGTTGAGTACGCTGGGACATCCGCTTATGGATGTTGTGTATGTGACGGGCCCGTATTGGAATCGTGCTAGTAAGGTGGGTATTCCTGGGGGGCCGATGGTGCAGACGGTGAGGGATGATCAGGGGGGTGATGTTTATGATGAGGCGAACCAGGCGGAGAATGGGTTGCCGAGTATGCAGGAGTTATTGGGGGTTTATGAAAAGAAGGCGGGGTGGGATCCGAGGCGGGATCGATGGGACGTTGCGAGGGTGTTCCATCTGATGAGAGTGAGTTTCTAATCTTCATCTTGTTTTGGTTGTCGCGTGGCGGAGAACTAGATGGATACAGAAAACAGCACAAGCTAACACAGATACCAGGGAAGTGTGATCAGCCACGGTATCCAGGCGCGAACCATCAGCGGGCAAGCCAGCAGCTCCTTCTCACATGTGTACTTCGAGAACACGAAACGGGGACTTGACGAAGCACTCCGACTAGTTCGCTCGATGAAGGACAAAGAAGCGCCAAAGAGCACGCTATAGTAGAAATCATACATTTCAGTCATGACCGCCACAACGTCATAACGGCCAACTCTCCACCTCCCCGCTACAACATTACGCGTCAAACGTGCTTGAAGCGCTGGCCAGCTTCACACGTACCATACAACACGCATTCACTGATCTACATCTCCACCTTCCCCATCCAATGCTCCCCAACACTCCATCTTTCCTTCTCCACTACACTGTCAGAGAACGTACTCAGTCTCCACCCCATCATCATCCCGTCTCCACGCGCGGTATCTACTCGCCAAGTCCGCATCACTCGCTATCCGGGGAGGGAGGATACGTAGACCAACGCATCAATCACGCTCACAGCCCCAGCCCAGCGACAAAGCCCTTGCACGCATGTTCCTCTTTCATCACACACACAGTCTCAGTCAGTCCCATTCCCTTCCGATGTATTTTCGTGGCTCCCCATCCTCCCCATGTCACAAACGCCAACCACACCCACCCACACCCACCCCAAGCTTTCCCAAGGTTCAATTGCAAATCCCACGACCTGCATCCTAAATCCCCCCCAAACTACCAAGCCCTATGCACATACATGAAATCCCACGCGCCCCCCAAGCCCGTCTTGGCTCCCGCGCACGCATCAAACAAAAGCGCTTATCTCAGAGCGCAGCGCGAAAACGCACGGGCCATATGCGGCAATTTGAATCGTCGTGTTACAGTGCAGAGGCATGTGAAATTCCGCCAAGCGGGCCAAGCTTTTTTGCTGAATGAGATGCGAAGGGCTGGCGCGGCCACTAGGATCTGAGACTGTTGAGGTGTTTCATTTACTGTGGCATTTGCTGTGTGGTAGGTAAGGGAATTGTTTGGTCTGGAGTGTTGCTAAGAATGGGATGCCGATGCGTTGCTTTGATGATGGTGAGCGGAGTGATGGTTAGTTAGGTGCCTAAGGACGGGAAGTTACGTAGATGGATATCTGGCCGATCGTAATCTGGCTATCGTGAAGCTTGCGAAAGCTGGCGGGAACGGGAGAAAAGCGAAGACGAAAACACGATGATATGGTGGGAAAGAGCAACAAACGCGCGCATGCATTCGAACATTGTTTGTGGAAGCTATCTACAACTATCGGAACGGGTTTTGACTAACTTCAATATCTCCGTCCTCCAGCCCCCATCAAAGTGCAGTGCAGCGCAAACTTCGTGTCGAGAGAAATGAAGTATGTATAAGAAAAATTGCCCGTGGTATCTGTTGCCCCTTCCCGATTTTTTATGACGCCGACGCTATGCAAAAGCCGATGGAGAGAGTAAAATGGATAAAACTCGGGGAATACAAAGAGTGATGGTGTGTGTGTGCATTACAAGTGTCTGTTGGCGCGCCCTAGGTCTAATGCTGGAATGGAGATGGAGAGTGTGGTGTCTAAACGAGGGAAGCCTGTAGACCTGCTGGCGGCTTCGGAGAAGGTACGGAGAAGCGATGGCGGAAACATGGGGGTATAAAAGGAGCGTGGTGCTTTTGATAGACTCACGACAGGCGTATACGTGGTGGTACAACGAGTGAGAGAAACGTAAACCGAAGAGAAACGCCGTTGAAAGCAAGTTGGTAGCAGATATCGCACGGCGATGCGACGGTGCTGAGATTACTGGGTTTGGCGTTTAGTGGTCTGCAATGTCTTCGTCCATGCCGGGGTAGATGATGTCGGCGACATAGATCGCCTGTACGTGCTTGAATAGGACGAAGCACCACATCGTGATGATGGCGATGGTGAGGCCGTTCCCCACGAAGAGCACCGTTTCGTCTTTCAGCGCGTTGCCGATCGAGATGGTGGCAATAACAAATCCGGTGTTGGGGAAGACCATGGCCCACCATCCGAGATGGAAGTAGACAGCCCACGAGTTGATGACCTGGAACCGATGTCAGTATTATTATAGAACGAGATACTGTGGCGAACTTACGGCGACGAGAGTGATCATGAAGAACCACATAGCCAATACCCAAAGGAAGAGTGCGACAATGAGAGCCAAAGTCCTGAGTAGCTTCGCGTCGACAAGGCCATCGCCTTGCAAGTCAAAGTCGTCAGGAAGAGCGTTGGCCATACCAATCAGGGCCAAGCAGGTGAACGAAGGCGGTCCGACAGCGATGAACATGGCTCCTCGATGCTCACGATCGGGGTATCCGACTTGCATCAGGCGACCAATATAGTGCGCATACATGAGTATAGCAACCGTGAATCCAAGACCCTGACATCCAAGTCCGGCAACCAAGATAGGCATTCTGGACGATACGGGCTGTGATTTGGCAATGACCGAGGCGATTGTACCCGCAAGCATGACAGGGAAGATGGGGAGCAGCCACGAGGGCATGAAGCTGGTGAGCTTGTAGGTGTGGCTGCAGAACAGGAATGAGTACTGGAAGGAAGCCAAGCAGAAAGTGATGAAGGTGTATGCCCAGAAAGCGACAGCCATGGTAGTGATTGCCCATGCACGATTCGGGTGATCCTCTTCATACGCTTCTATGACATATTTCTGCGTTCCGGTGATGATTGTAGCGATCGACAGGAAGAATGGTCCGAGGAAGAGTCCTTCACGTTCGTGTTTGATGGATTCCTTAAAGGATCCAGCGTACTTGGTGAAGCGGAGGACCATTGTCATTGTGACGGCAGTGAACAGCATGAGGTTGAGAATGTAGAAAACGGCGCCGATGGTGATGAGACCGGGGAAAGAATGGGGCTGGATGGCGATAAGCGTACCGAGACCACCAGTAGCCATCGTCAGGGTGTAGTTCGCCCATGTGTAGTGCTTGAGCCGTTGTCCGAAAGTGAGGTATGGCTGGTTGGGATCCTTCCTGCCAGGGATCTTGGTGTGCTTGTCCCATTCCGAGTGGCCATCGGCATGCTTGTGCTTCTCGAGATCGATATCGTCCATCTGGGGTGGCGACTGAAGAGCTGGGTCCCTGAAAGGGTTCTCTGGCTCTGGCTGCCTCTCCTTCGTGTCGATGCGGTATCCATTAGCATCAACCGGACCGGGAAAGTAGCCTCCTCCATTAGATGCGTACATAGGCGCAGGTGTTGCCGCTGGTGAGTTGGCTGCCCATGTGTTGGTGCGAGTAGTCTCGCCGGACTCAAAGGAGAACTGGTTCTGTTGTGCGACCTGAGGTTGCGGCTGGTACTGGTTTGGCTGTAGCTGTTGTTGCTCGGGTGTTTGTTGTTGCTGTTGCTGTTGCTGTTGAGGGTTGGACAGGCGGGAGTAGTTGTTCACATCCCGACTTGATTGAGGAGAATGTTGACGGGGGCCAGAAGGTAGACCATACTGTCCTTGCTGCTGAGGAGTTTGCATACGAGGTCCGGAAGGTAGACCGCCGTACTGCTGGCTAATATGCTGAGGCTGAGGTGGAGGTGCATATTGAGGTTGTTGCTGGTTTGGTGGGAGAGGGAATTGACCGTTGTTCTCGAAATTAGGGCTGAAGGTGTCTTTTGGGCCAAAGGACAAGCCTTCTGGTTGGTAGCGAGTATCCATTGCTGAAATGATAGAATAGGTGTCCTGCACCGTAGAGACTAAAAGATGGAAGAGACGGCAAATAAAGGAAAGAAACCAAAGAAACTATGACCACAAAACGCGCAATAGGGACAAGTATTGACCTGCACGGGGCAATTTGATAGAAACCCGAGAGGCAATGCTCGGGAATAGACCAGTGTATTAACACGCGCCGAGCGGGATCAGCATGGGTCTGCCTCTCTAGTATCGGTCCTGTTTCGAACTGCGTGCCAATCTAGCGCAAATACCTCTGGCAGCTAGTCAATGAGGCTCCACGGAGTCATGGTGGGATCTCAGAGTGCTTGGCGAGGACGAAGTGTTGCGTACATCCTCCTGGTATCCACATCAAAGCGTCGAATAAGCTCCGAGCAGCGGCCAGCGCACGTACACCTAGATAACGACCTGAGGTCCTCTTCGCTTCATCTAGTTCCAGGAATGGTAACTCCACCTTGGCGGTGCACGATGCGCCAAGATGTTGAGCTAGCTTCCGTCGCTTAGTACATTCAAGACGAGTGCTTATCGCCTTCCATGATCTGCATCGTGGCTATGCTGCTTGCGTATCCTGTGGATAACTCAGTGTATGATGGATAGTATTCGTGCACTGCATCCACGTAGTTGCCATATTGCAGTTGTCCACTCAGATTGACAGTACTGGGGAGTCCTTCTCAACTTCATGTCCGTCATACATAGACATCTTACCTGTCATATTTGGGCCTAGAGCGAACCTGACGCATCGCTTTCAGGGCAGCAGGACCGAATAGCTGTGACGCGGGCGTCGGCTTCGCGCCGCAATGCAGGGAGAGTCCCTTCGACTTGAGAGAACCCCTAGGCGGCGGGCATGGCGGTCTCCAATCTGGATCACCATGCGATGGTGCGGTCCGGATTCCTCCGACTTGACTAGGGCATGCTAAGCGCGGAACATGGACTGGGCAATGAGAAAATAAGATGCGGCTCAAGCTGTCGAGGGACGGTGATTCGTGGTGCCAAAAAGGGGCGTCGAAACGGATGACGAAACGCTTAAAGCGGAGCCCGTTGCGTCGGCTTCGTTGCCAAGCATCCCGCGCAAGACACAACCAAACAAGGGGCCACCGTTTCGCAGCCCGATGCAGCCACAGCCGCATACTAGAACGCAAATAAGGTTGAGGGAAGTTTGACACTGGCGGCTCTGATTGCTTGCGTGTGTGCGAAGCTTGTCGGGCCAAGATCATCGGGTGGAAGCTCGAAGCTGTCTCAACAATGCCAGAACCCTCGCCCAAGCTCCACTCTGGTGTTTGACTCTGCTTCGGCCAAGGCTAAGCCTTAGGCAAAAAGCCTATCTCGACTTATCGTCATTCCTCAAAAAGCGCCGAGTCCCCACGTGCGTTCCAGAAGCCTGCCCGTATAGTTGATGCCGCCGCAAGGTGAGCGCGTGCAAGCCTGGAGGTTGCTTGTAGAGGGTGGGAACTGATTGAGGGCTTGCGAACTTCGACTCCGGCTTGTCTTCGTTGTGAGTGGGTTACACGCACTGCGTCGCGTCCGGTGGGTCTGTAATGATGAGTTGCTCTCTGGGCGTGGGCGGTGCACTCAACGTCTTTTCAAATCCGACCTGAGTCGACCAATCGGGCCGTGATCCAGTGTTCATGGCAGTGCTGAGCACGTCGGTGCGCTGATGATACGCAGAGCCCAAAGACGATGCAAATTGTGAATGATCGGAGACAAGGAAGGAACAAGGGCATGTGAAGATGGCCAACGGGGCAAGAGCTGCCGGATGATGATGATCTACACCTGGGCCTGAGGCTGAACGCTAAAAAGCGGGCTGCGCCGTGCACTGCCAAGGACCATCGTTGGGCTTTTCACATGTCAACATCGCTATGATCACAAAATGCATTCCGTCGCTCGCGGGCGGACAGGACGGCGCGTCGCGGAGCACTGCGGAAGAGACAAGAGTTCGCCAAGCAGATGCATGTGTGTCGTCACTGGTGGCAGAGAAATTACGCCGGCCCCTTATCTGGCAGCGTTTAAGGGCGTTGCTCACTGATTGCTTTTCAGGCAGTTATGCTGTAGAGGCACGGTTTCATGCAGAGAGGTGCTTCTTGGTGTGGTTGGCTTTCGCATGTGCTGCAGAATCCTCTCATTGAAGTAACGCCGCTGAGGTCTCGGGTTGAAAAGAAAACGCCCGAGATCACCCGAATCACCGTGGTAATACGATGTCATCGCCTTCCCGACGATGCTCATGTGTAAAAAGTCTTATCGTGTCAAGATGGATCGTGCAGCGGTATCCTTCCCTGCGCCCAACGAGCCTTGTCGCCTCGTATCTCTGGAAGCCGCTGGGCGAGGTCCACATCGCGACCTTGGCTTCCAAAGACAAAACAGGCATAAATGAAGAATGTGGATACTTCATGTTAGTATTAAAGTGTAGCGGTTACCTATACCATGCCTCCCCCGTTACCTGTGATATGTCGTGGCGTATAATGGTACGATTGTCTGGCTGATTTCGCCTTCTCTAATCTTCTAGATTTTACTGGCTTCTTTCAGTACCTCGCGCGTAAGTACCTCACCTTTTTTCCTCACTTCACTGAGCCTGCCCATCTTCAATAACCTCCCTATCATCTCCTCGTCTCCGTGGTGGCTGTTGTGCTCGAATTCAGGCTCTTCGCCATATGCTACTCGGGCCGCATCGACTAGTATTCTTGCTGTCATGCCAAATACTCTAAACGTGGTGAGGCTGTCGATTGCGCTAGGCTCTGGGCGAGGGTCATCTCCATCAGGTAAAGTTTGATGCGAAGAAGGTTCTGGTTTGGATGGCGGAGAGGACCGCGCGGAATTGCGTAGGAGTGTCGGAGATGGAGGGGGTCGTGGCATGTAGAAATTGTGCATTCGCCAGCGTGACTCGTGCCAGTCTGTCCAAGAGCCTCGATACCATTTCTCGGGTCTACCGTCTTTCTGTACTGGTGGTGGGCCTTCACCCTCCCACCCTTTGCGCAGGAAGTTGTGAAACGGCGCCGTGAAGACCGCTGCTACTTCCCTGGGGTCGAGTCGCGGCATAAGCCTTTCTTCTACAGAGAGACCATTCGTGTCGGAGGAAGCGGGCACGTCGGAGGACGTCTCTGCCGGACGAAGAAAGGCTACGCAGGGCCGCACTCCGAGCTCGGTCTTTGCGAGATTCGCAGGGAGTTCGCAAAGGTGCTCCACGGTAAATCCTCGAAGCTTCTCCTCATTCATGGGCAGCCCAATCTCTTCGTCCGCTTCGCGTCGTGCGACGTCCCACGGCGACTCGTCGAGTGTATCTGCTTTGCCTGAACCATGTCAGCATGCACGTCTAATCCAACTCCCATGTGTGATCCAGTACCTCCGGGCAGCGCAGCCTGTCCCGCATAGTTGCGTAACTGCGCGCTGCGCATCGTGAGGACCACCTTAAGCTCGCCATGCCGGTCCGGAAAGAGCAATATAAGGACAGCCGCGCGTCTCGTAAGGGGACAGTCATACCATCGCGTTGGCGGAGGGGAATACGTTCGGAGGCGGTCCAAGGCGCGCTGTTGGGCGTATTAGCAAGATGAAGGCCTGCTGCAGACCGCAATCGTATAGAATACTTACAATAGATCTTTGGGAAAGCGCCATCGTCGCAATAGCTTTGCTTTGGGCGAGCCATGCTGTCGGTCTCATGGGATGCGCGTGCGTCGGGAGCGTGAAGCTCAGTGGGGTCGTGGACCGAGGTTATCGATAGGCGGCATGCAAGAGCCTCGTGGCAGCCCCAGAATCTCCCGCGCCTTAAATAGATGCCGTGTGGAGATCGTCACGTCAGGCATTAGTCGACTTGGACAGTAGTCACATCACTCAGTTGTATGGCGAAGTGCAAGTTAAGTAACTTTCATGCAATTGAATCGCATCTCTATATGAAAGGAAACTCCCGATCGTTATCATCGACATGCGTGGCCATGGTGAAGTGCTACATATCCCACCGCGTGAGCATGCGTTGACGACGTGCAGCAGATCCCCGAGGACATAGGAAAGTAGCATGAAATTGCAAAACAGGACCCATCCGTCAACTACGCACCGTAAGTCTATCATATGCAGACATTCTTTTAGGGAAATCATTTCGCACATGAGAGACCAACGCCAAGATGCTGCGATGTATAGACGATTACTCGTCCTACCTCGAACCACTTTTGAACCGGACCAAACAGAGAGCACCCCTGGCCGTGCAGGCGTACTCGTATTAGAAGACCACCGCCTCTATCCAATGCACCACTGAAGCGTTAGTGGGCAGAGTGAGGCGGCGATGAGAAGATAGCAGAGCACCACTTCTTAGATGAGGTCTGTCGTGCACGTTAGTAATCAGGCCTGAAGTACGGGGATACAATGAACACTTACCAGCCACGTTCATGGGCATCTCCTCAATCTGTGTGCTGTAGAACTGCTCGATTTCGCGCATCATGCGGACATCGTCGGCGGTGACGAAGTTGATGGCAACACCCTTACGTCCGAAACGTCCACCACGACCGATGCGGTGGATGTAGTTCTCGCGGTTGGCGGGCAAGTCGTAGTTGATGACCAGGGAGACCTGCTGGACATCGATACCACGGGCCAGAAGGTCAGTGGCGATGAGGACACGGGAAGATCCGGAACGGAACTCCTTCATGATGACATCACGCTGGGCCTGGTCCATGTCACCGTGCATGGCCGAGACAGTGAAGTCACGGGCAGTGAGCTTGTCGGTGAGCCAGTCGACCTTCCTGCGGGTGTTGCAGAAGATGACGGCTTGGGTGATGGTGACAGTCTCGTACAAGTCGGACAGAGTGTCAAGCTTCCAGTCCTCCTTCTCGACGGCAATGTAGAACTGCTTAATACCTTCGAGGGTAAGCTCGTCCTTCTTGACAAGGATACGGACGGGGTCGCGCATGAACTTAGTGGTGACCTCGAGGACGTCCTGGGGCATGGTGGCGGAGAGAAGGACGACCTGGGTGGACTGGGGGAGCAGCTGGAAGATGTCGTAGATCTGCTCAGTGAAACCGCGAGACAACATCTCGTCGGCCTCGTCGAGGACGAACATCTTCATGTGGTCGGTCTTCAGGACACGACGCTGGATCATGTCGTGGACACGGCCGGGAGTACCGACAACGACCTGGGGGCCGTCCTGGAGTGCCTTCATGTCGTCACGGACGCTGGTGCCGCCAATGCAGGCGTGGCACTGGACGTCCATGAAGTCACCGATGGCGACAACGACCTTCTGGATCTGCTGAGCGAGCTCGCGGGTGGGGGCGAGGATGAGCGCCTGGCAGGCCTTGACGTTGGAGTCGATCTTCTGGAGGGTCGAGATGGAGAAGGTAGCCGTCTTACCGGTACCGGACTGGGCCTGGGCGATGACATCGTTGCCTAAATTATGTCAGTCGCTTGCTGGGTTGTGCGGTGGTGGGGGTGGGCAAACGTACCCTTGATGACGGGCATGATGGCGCGCTGCTGGATAGCAGAGGGGCGCTCGAAACCGTAGGCGTAGACTCCACGGAGGAGCTCAGCCTTGAGGTTCATGTTGTCGAACGAGTCGGTGATCTCATCGTAGTTGGACTCGATCTGGCCTGCGCGTAGGTTAGCCGGGGCTCGCAGAAATGTTTGCAGGTGAGGCTATCGTCGCCGCCGCCCTCGCACTGCGGGGCGCGCAGTTTCGAAGAGCAGCGGGACAGCACTCGGGGCACAACTCACCCTCGGGCACGTCCTCAAGACCTTTGTCAGCCATGATTGCGACTGGAAGGAGCGACTACTGGTGCGGGACCGTAGTCGAAGTGTTGCTCGTGGCGGGGTTAAAGCGGAGGATCCTCTGGATGCCGCCGCGTGTGTAAAAGTTGTGTAGTAAAAGCTAGATACCAGATCCTCTGCAAGAGAATCAAACGGGTATCTAGGGTAGTGTGTGTATTGGTTGTGTGGTGGATTTGGTGATGGAGGGACAGAGAAGGTGGGCGCTTTTTGGCTTAAGAGGTCGGCCACAAAAAATCTCAGCAGTGTGCTAGTGCCAAAAGCACGCTAGTTCAAATGCGCCCACGGCTCCCACCTAGGTCCGCCTTCACTTCCACTGGCTCGCTCCAGCGTCAGCCTATGACTCTGTTCATTGTCCCTTGGTTTGCCTCCTAGACCACTTGCAGCCCTGAAAACGTCTGCGCTGAGCAAACACCAAGCATCGTGTCCGGTCCATCTTTGACATGGCGCCCGGCATTCTGGACCACCCCGGCATTGCCACTGTCGAATCACGACCTTCGAAAAGAGTCAAGACTTCTGTGGCGACTGAAGTCGAGAGCGACGACGATGATGTGGCGGCGGCGGCAATCGCAGTCCCCTCGCATCCTCTGGGTATCAAGCCGGCCGGCAATGCGTATACTGCGTCCGAGAATATCAAATCGAGATGCGGACTGTTCGCCAGCTTACCCGATGAACTACTGAGCCACATCTTTGAGTCATTCGAAGCTGACGTTCTGATACGCCTGGGGAGTACATGCCGCGCTCTGTATGCCTTTACGAGGTTGGACGAATTATGGCGGGCTTTGTTCGTAAGGTGAGTACCACGGTTGCTATACACAACATGTTGCATTCCCCATCTTTTTCGTATACAGTCATTCCTACGTTTCCAGTCGTCGTCCAGTCATGTAATCGGTCAGGCGGTGTATGTGAAGGAAGGCGTTCCTTGTAAACTCTCTTGGATCGGTATGACTGTGCCTGCACGCCTGACCGCGCCTCGGCCGTGGAAGTGCAGGACACAAATTCATTTCAGGGCGTTCTGTATTTCCCCGGGATAAAGTGGTAGATCGTTGCTTAAGTTGATTGTGTGTAAATTCGTGGTATATACGAAGCTGCATTTTCCCAGTGGAATAGAGCGTTGCTTCTCCTTTATACCAGGCTCAACATGCATCACTCGTTTGCTTGCGTTGAAAATACCAGACAATCACACTTTTTCCAATCGAACGCTAACAATCAAACAGCTCCCCAGCTGAAGACTTTGAGTGGCGTGGAACCTGGCGAGCAACCTACCTGAAGATCCCAAGAGAGCACGTCACTTCAATATCATGCACCAACCTCTTCTCAGACACTCTTTATCGACCATTTCAGTGCGCCCACACAGAACTAAACTCCTACGCGGCCAAAATCCCGAAACAAAATGAGATAGCCCGACTATCAGATCTGACATACGAAGAGTACGCCGAAACCTGGGTGGACAAGCCCTTTGTGCTCACTACACCCGTCCAGCAATGGCCTGTATACGGTACCTGGACGCCAGAGTATCTCCTCGAAAAATTCCCAGAAACCAAGTTCCGCGCGGAAGCAGTAGACTGGCCCATGAAGAAGTACATGTCCTACATGCACGACAACGCCGACGAGTCACCCCTGTACCTCTTCGATCGCGCATTCGCCGAGAAGACCGGCGTAGACATCACAGCGGCACCGCATTCCAAAGAAGCCGCATACTGGAGCCCAACATGTTTCGGCGACGACCTCTTCAGTGTCCTAGGCGAACACCGACCGGACTGCCGATGGATGATCATGGGTCCCAAGCGCAGCGGCTCTACCTTCCACAAAGATCCAAACGCAACTTCAGCATGGAACGCAGTCTTGACAGGCAGCAAATACTGGCTCATGTTCCCCGCCGGCCCAGGCATCGATCCTCCACCCGGTGTCATCGTTAGCGACGATCAATCTGAGATCACCTCTCCGCTCAGCATCGCGGAGTACATGCTCACGTTCCATGAACTCGCCCGCCAAACGCCCGGCTGCAAGGAAGGCATCTGCTATGCTGGTGAAGTACTCCATGTACCGTCCGGCTGGTTCCACCTAGTGCTCAATCTCGAAGACAGCCTCGCTTTGACGCAGAATTTTGTGCCTCGCAAGAAATTGCCTGATGTACTAGGCTTCCTGCGTGACCAGCGCGGCGAAGTAAGCGGGTTCAAAGAGGACGTTTGCGACCGTGCGTATGAACTCTTCGTCGAGAGGCTGCAGGAACAACACCCCGAGCTGCTGGAGGAGGGCCTCGCGGAGTTGGAAAGGAAGGGGAAGAAGGGAAAGGGCAAGTGGGAGCAGCTGACGAAGGGAGACGAGAAGGAAGAAGTCGGAGGGTTTAGCTTTGGTTTTGGTGGGGATGACGATGATGCTGACATTCCATGAGCGTTGCAATGATCGTAGTGACAGCAATTCCGCATTTAATCTCATGCATATGGTGTTCGACAGCGTCACAACTAGAAGGATCGGGGTTTAATCATAACATTCATACAGTGCTGTGTGCAAGCTATCTCTCGTGGGTATCATTTAATCGTTAGGTCGTATCATACATCATAATCGCAGCGTCACATCTATCCTCCCCGTTCTGCGCCAGCTCACTTTGCGTGGTTGATGATCTCAACGTACATGTCCTCAGGTATCTTGCCGGCGAAGCTCATAGCCACGGCGACAATCTTCTGAGCGTTAAGACCAGGCAGGTTACGTAGGATCGTATTGGGGCTATAAATACGTCAGTCCTGCTTCAGATGTGTATGAAGGGTGTACTCACCTCGGGCTATTCAAGATATCCCCGCGGATCAGAACCAGCTGAGCCACGATGCACAGAATGTTCAGATGTGGTCCATATGCGAAGAGAAAGTCCCAGAGCTGTAGGACCTCAGGCAACGGGGGCGTGCACGCGCACATGGTGAGGACGGATGCGAAAGCGTAGATCTTGGCTTCCATGTGGTGTGCCATGAGGTGGCCGTACAGCTTGGGGTCGACCACCTCTAGCACCCTGTCCACCAATGCAAGACCTTTGTGCACACCCTCCATCGATCCTCTCACATAACCCGGACACTCGTATGTAATGAGCCGTTCGAAGCCCGTGAAAGCCTCGACTTCACTCCTCGCCGCGTACAGAAACGGCCCACAGAGCACATTCATGCCCTGCACGTAACCAATCTGCTCAGCATCGTTCGTAGTCGACGCCTCTGTACGCGTACCCGCAGTGAGGGAATGCCGCGACATCATCGATGTATCTGGGCTACCGCCGAACTCGGATAGTGTTGGTGGGGACTGCCAGCCATTGACGCGTGCTTCGTGCGCATCGTTGAGCCTCCACGCGACCGCGTTGAGCACACGCGTAATGCTGTTCTGAGTGACGCGTCGTCGGAAAAGAGGATCTCCCTGGAAGGTGCGGAAGGTATCGTTTTGGATTTTGGCGTGCGCGGGTGAGGCGCCTTGCCGGACGAGATCGAGATATACGTCGGTGCGAAGAGGAGGCGCGTTGAGTAGGATGAGCCAGATGTATATGCGCAGCTCGGACTGGACCGGTAGAAATTAGTATACAGAATTCATTGAGCGATTCTAGATTGCGCCCATGCGCAATATGATCGCATGGGGTAGTGTGGAGAACATACCATGCCCTCGCTGTTGGCGGGTATACCTTCGGTCAAGATTGTGTAGCGCAATTCTTGGAGACCCTCCTCTGGATTACTCGCAGAGGCTCCTTTGAGCAGCAGCATATCCAGATTCGTCATTTTGTTAGATTGGCATGAAGAGGTTGGATTCGCTCACAATTCGAAACTCTGGTCGGGGTCTCCGCACGGCGGTCTGCACTGACGCCTTGGCATCGGCCCTGGAATCCTCGCCGCGGACCCGCGTCATCCGAAGACGTTCACTCCACTGTCCTTAATGCATACGCTGCATCTACATTTCGTATAAGTTTCTTGTTTCCTAGTCCGTTGTGAGTTAGCAACTTATTTGCGTGGTTGCTACTTGTACTATTTCATTCCGTCTGTGTCGTCCACACCTGAATGCAGCATTGGAACAACGGGTAGCGACGATCTGGGAACACCCACAGAACACCCACAGTAATATCTACTTATTCCACTGCGCTCTCATCTTACTTACATCGGCAGCAACTGCCAACATGGTGTTGCCGCCAGAAACCGAGTACAATCGCAGCGAATACAAGCGCGACACCAAGTACATCGCTGGGTATCTTTTGAAGGCTTCCCGGAAATGCGGGTTTTTCCGACGCCTTCCAACAACTCTTACAAGCATGAGGTTTACGAACGTGACTTTGAGCCAATGGCTCAATGTATCGTGAAAAATCCTCAGAAGGCATCTATACCACCGTTTATGCGTACGATCCTGGTTCGAGCTATTCGGTTTCGGCGGGAGGTGACGGCCTGGTATCGACTCAAGAGTTGCGATGCGAACGCGGACCAGCAGCATGACGCTTTCTCCTCGCGCCTTCAAAGGATACTAGACATTCTGCGACCGCATATACGCAAGCCGGACAATGAGAGGACGAAGGAAAAGACGGCTTCCTCGGGGACGACAGCAATAGAAATAGGCTTCTCCAAACTGGCTGTGCAGGATACCACCGAGGACGACGAGGAGTCTAATGATCAGCCCGTGATCGTAGACGACTTGCCTTCTGTCCCAGCAGTGGAGATTAGTTTGGACGACGCGAATGTAGAGGAAGACTTCTTTCTTGAAATCAAAGGTTTCTTGAAAGAAATGCAATCGATTCGGAAATATGTCTTAGAGCGATGGACAGGAAAGTCTGATTTGATGACCAAAGCGTTCGTCACGAATACCGCGATCGCAATCGTGCGACAGAAAGAATACGAGTTCGACCAAAGTCTATCACGTCCGCCTCAGTACCCCGCGGAGTTATTTCCCGTCTGGTGTCTACCGGCTTTGCTCCTTTTTAGGGAGCTTTATCCAGAGAAACTTGGGGATGAGAGCGACCTCGACGAATTCATCCTACCTTCTGATATAGTGGGGACTTCCGGTGCAAAATCTTTACTTTGCTTTTACCCTGTGTACAATGGCCTGAAATTGCTCCTCGACACCATTCAGTTGGCCCCTAAATCGCAACACCCAGGGGCGGTTTTGGTGCACAATCTCAGTGAGGAACACAAACATCGAGACATGCACCCTCACGTTCTCGGTGCGCGGGATATGGCTTCAGTGCTTTACGTTTTCTGCCAAATTCCGATGTTGTTACATAACATCCCGGAGGATGAATTATCCCGCGGCGTTCGATGCATGGATAAGGAACGGGCAATACCATTTTGGCTCACCTTTGCTATGCAGATCCAACTCGAAATTAATGATCTTCCCAAGGATTCCTTGGGGGACCCGCTCGAGGATTTACGACGAGAAGTGACAAAGGCGTCCACACTCATCCAAGAAATCAAAACGCATCCTAATAGTCTTGTCGACGTCCATAGAGGCAAAGACTTTGATTCGCTTGAGACGCTCGTGTTAGACCTCGAAGAGAGTTTCTTCAACGACGGAGCCGCCCTGTTTCTACAAGGAGTCGTGAAGAGCTTCATAACCAGGCCGAATGACCGTGGCATAAGAATACCGACACAACTGGATCCGCTTTGTCCAGGCAACCCCTTCGTCAAGGAAAAGGACCTTTTCCTGCGCAGCCACCGCCTGAGATGTGGCGTTTACACATATGTTATAAGATCCTTGGTGCGCAAATTCCCAATTTCACACGACGCCAATCATAGTCATGTACTGAGCGTCGCTCACCTGTACAACATATGCTGCAAGCTGTTCCCTGATGCTCCGCACTTCCCCGATCTGGAATTTTTCCTGCAACGCCAGGATCTTGAACGACTCTTCTATGGGAAGATACCGCAGGACATTATGGAGGCTCAAAAACGGCCTGAACTTCTCCAGTACGGTGTGACTGATGCGATCAATGGCCACTCATACCGTACGATCAGCACGATCGGAAAACGTCTCCTGCGAAGCAGAGTTCTCCAGAGTCCTTCCCACTTAGATTCTGTGTTAGAAGACCAGTTTGATATGCGCGAGGTTCCGTTAACGCTACAGAAAGTCGATGAGTCGACCCGTCGCCTTTTGAATAGTTTCGGCGACAAAAGACAAGAACATGAGCGAATACGGCTGTTCAATTAGCCAGCTGACGCACTCTCGCCCGAAGGATGGACGTACCATAGGCTCTTTTTCCACAAATTCGACAAAACATGGGACCCTGTCCCAACCTTGCGGTCCGTTGTGCTATGGCTCGAGGCGGACGCCGTTAATCTCAACTTCTGCACACCAAAGCTCGTCCTCTTCTGCAGCGACATCCTCCGGGACATCCTGGACATGTTTCGTAGCGACCCTGTTTTCGAGAACGACTTCCTGAAAGAACAGAATAAGCCCACTCTCTCTCCGACTATCGTTCTCCGAATCCTGACCCTTGCCGCCAACGAAATTAAACTACGCAAGCGCCAGCCAAGTCTCCCAGCGAAGAGAATGGACCAGCTACGTGAGGTCTTCAACATCATGCAAAAGCACTACATGCATCCCATGGAAACTACGCCAGGCGAAAAGACATGGGCGGGCGACGTTTGCATTGCGGATCTAGTGAACACGGAGAAGGAACCCCAGATCGGCGAATACTGGAGTGCAGCGAATTTCTTCAGTGGTCGCGACATATTCGCACACGGTGGGCGTCGCATTGACCCAAATAATCTGGGACCTGCTGCTGCTGAGAACTTGTACAAGAATTGGGACTTTGGCGGCAGTAAAGAGGAGAGTAGGATGTTCAACGCCCTTTCTAGGTTTCATGCTCGGCGGGGTTCGAAAGCGATCGTGAGTAGAGCTCTGGAGGGGCGCTACGGATAGCCTTTCGTAGGCGCGCCGAACAAATCACTTCTTCGAGGCCGGGTGTTAGGGACAAGTGGTAGGGTGGTTAACAAGCATGCGCCATTCCATTAAATCAGTATCGCCTCTACGGCACGGGCTACATGTTCACATTGTCAGACTAGGGGTGTCATTGTGGTGAAAAAGAGAATATCATTGAATGATCTCGCTATATAAGGAATGTCGTGTCGTCATGGTATGTATCCCACCAGCCTCTAGAACGCCTTGAAAGATTATGTACAAAAAGAAAAGCAACGCCTAAAACCTTCAACCCTCTTCTATCTTCTCCTGGTGGACGATGTCGATGTCTTCTTGTCATCCCTCCTCGTACTTGTACTTGTCGCCTTGGGCGCAGAAGTTATCGTCGGAGAGGAAGAAGCAATTCCAGCAGCAGCTATAGACGGTGGTGTAGAACTTGTCTGTAACGTCGTAGAGGAAGCAGCGTCCGTAGCAGGCGAGGACGAAGATGATGAGGAAGCTGGTCGAGTGCTAGTGACAAGCGTGCTAGGTCCCTTGCCTCCATTGGCCCAGTACTCCACAAGCGCCTGCTCAACCTTCTCAGGTTCAGTGTAAGCCTCCAGAGCCTCAAGCTCAGCGCACTTCTCATCGATGTGCTTGTCGTCGTATTCATTGATGTCTTTGGAGCGGTACTTCTCCTCCATCGGGTCAATGAACTTGGTAGTCTCAGGATAGCCGAAGTTGGCAAGGCTGGTGACGTTGAAAGCAGCCATCATGTCGTGGTCCTCGTGGATGAGGTTGTGGCAGTGGAACATGTATACACCATCGTATGGGGCGTAGCGGGCGATGACAGTGACCTTCTCGTTGGTACCAAGCAAGACGACGTCCTTCAAAGCTTCTCGTTCGTAGGGAAGAACACTTCGTTTACCTCCGGTGCGGCTCAAGATCTGGAAGTCGACAAGATGAATGTGGACGGGATGGCTCCAGCCGCCGGATGAATTCTCAAGCTCCCAGACTTCGACAGCGCCGCGTTGGGGCTTTGCGAGGATGCGGTTATTGACATCGGCAAAGGTGACTCCGTTGACGGTCCATTCTCCGCCGGTGCGTCCAAATTTGAAGCTCCTGTCGATGCCACTCTTCTTTGGTGGGAAAGGTACTGTACGTAGAGAGCCTGGGAGAGCGCCGTTGCCGGCGGTGCTGGAGACGGAGGAACCGACCACGAATCGCATAACCTTGTCAGTGCTGTTGTAGTCCTCGTCTGCTTGTACGTCGCGAGCATTCTTCATCGTTACGTTCTTTCCGGCATATGCGCTGAAGTCGACGACGATCTCCCAGCGTTCAGCCATTGAGATCTCAAGGTTGTCGGTCGGCACAGGCTTGGACATGAGACCAGTGTCTGCGGCGATGACATTGAATGAAACCTTCTTGGCGGAAGGGTCCTCAAGAGTGAGCTTGAAGGCACGGCTGATGGCTGTGTTGAGCACCCTGAAGCGGTACTTGCGTGGCTCTACCTTCAGGTAAGGCCAGGGTTGACCGTTGACGTGGATGACGTCGCCCCAGAGGGAAACAGTCTCGCTTGCCGGATCAAAAAGCGTGCCGTCACTGTTGTACTGCTTTGAGGCCAGTGCCAGAGGTACATCGTATGAGCCTGAAGGAAGTTTTAATTCATCCTCAGCAGGGTCATGCAGAATGTAGAAGCCCGCTTGTCCGAAGTAGGCGTTCTCCGCAGTGTGGTGAATGGCATGGTCGTGGTACCACAAAGTTCGCGCACTCTGCTTGTTGGGGTAGTCTAGAACTATTAGCATTCATGTGGCATACTGCCAGTGATGGCCGATACTCACAATAGTCTTTGTACTGTCCGTTTTTCGTAGTGTCCTCGGCCCACCCATCGAAAGGTGCTCGGCTGTAGGAACCATGAAGATGCACCGAAAGGTCCTTGGGGCCGTGATTCTTGAAACGAACAATGGCTTCACGACCTTTGGTCATGCGGAAAGTAGGACCAGGTGATACTCCATCGTATCCAACAAGGTTGGCAGGCTTAAGCCCAGGGTAGACTTGTTGTGTGAATGGCTTCACATCGACCTCGTAGAAATCAATCTCATTCCCCGTCGTCTTGTTTCGGTAGGTGTACGACTTGGCCTTATCCTGGGGGATAGGAAGCGGGTTCTGAAAAATCTGCTTGTAGACTGGGCTGAGCCACTCGTCGTCGCCAGCAAGTGCTTGTGATGCCAAAAGGGCTGTGAATCCAATGGAAAGATAGTTCTTCATGGCGTAGTGAAGGCGGATGAAGATCAGGAGATGAGCAGATATGAGTGAATTGGGCTGATGCTCTGTTGTACACTGGCGTCTTGGAACACTTTATACATCCCCATCTCATGGTATACAGAAGCTAAAAGGTCTCGAATACGCCTACTTCATGGTATCCGGCCAGACCCCGTTCCCACCATCCCTCATCGTGGCAAGTGTACTCCCACAAGAATGGGATGGGAAGTCTAGGGCCGGCAGGAGACGCCATTCGGCGTTCTCGCTACTGTTGCCTGAGTGTGTCTACATTCGCCATATCGCAGTCTGCTTGAAGCCACTGCCTGGAAAGGCCGAGAATATGGGATCCTTGCCTAGACATGGCTTGAGAGGCTTGGTATGAGCAAGAGCTAGGCGATGAGCGAAAGCTGATGAGTCTTGGCGACCAGCAGGATGACTAGCCCTTACTGATAGAACAGCATGAGAGACTACTCCATTTACAAGTGCGGAATGAATTCGATCAGTATCTCCGAATGGTGCATATGAGTAGGTGATGCTGAACTCAATCTTGGCTCATCTGGATCTTCTCGACCACGAGAACCCCAGGTCTTCCCTGCTCTTCTCCATGACCACGTGACGGATACCAGTAGGCAAATTGAACAACGAACGAGTTGCAGAGTCTGTTTCGGGAAGACCGACAGTCTCAACTCGGAAAGGTGTAGTCAGGAAGGTCCTCGTTTACGGATGGCGCTCTACATGCCTAGACGACGGCTGGGTACGAGCGGTCAACACGATTCAGGCCCTCCATGAAAACTTTCGTAGCAGTCTCGCCCTGCTAGGGCTGAACATTGTTGCCAGCGTGTGAGCTGTGAAGCGCTAATTGCTAGTGCATCGTGGGACACGAGAGACCGGTCAACTTGGCCAGGCTTGTTTAGGACTCCCGTCCATCCAGGAATAGCAGTTCCGCGTCCGGGGGACTGCTTGTCAGTGTGCCGGTACTGTGTGTGTATGTTCATCGCAAGCGGAGAAGGTTCAAGGGAGGCTGCGGAAAGGGAGGTCTGGACTGTGACCAAGCTGCGATCGGCGCTAAGCTAGCGCCCGTCGGCCTTGGCGTGGAGATCGCTCAGCCTGTCATTCGAAGCCCTCCAAGCCACCACGCCTCTCCACAGCTTAACCTCAGCTACCCCGTAACGCAGCATCAGCGCGGGATTCATGCATGCCGAATGCACGGCTCGTGTCTTCCCTTTCATTACACAGCTTCACCATTGGTCAAGTCGTACCATCACATGTACGCGCTTCAAATCCCCTCCCGTCACAATCCGCCAAAACAACTGCGTCGCCGAACTGGAGTTGACCCAAGAATCAAAACAAAAAGCATCTGATTCTGCCGATAGCCTTGCGCATAATGTCGAGCCTCAACACTGGATGCAGTGTTTTTACTATTACGTCCACGTAGGACCGCGCAGCGATCAAAGGTTGTCTGGAACAGCTGTCGCACCACGCTGGGATCAGACATGGTGGAACGAGAAGACCACCACTCTGGTCCGATCACGGACTAACAGTAGCAAGATCATGCAATTGCTATAACAGAGTCGAGTCTGTCCTTCACACCTACTTCGCAATTGATCCCGAGATGAGGCTCGACCATGGCACAGCGTCGGAAAATATCTAGCATGGGAAAATTCCCGCTAATTCGACATCCATCCGCTTACCCTTGCGAGACCACCCCGCGACTGCACTTGAACACGCGAGAAGGGTGATACTAAATCGGGGGCCCTATTCACCAGCAGACCCCTGTCAGCAGCATCGCCTCTGATGTCTCTCCGCGCCTTCGTACAAACCGCTGTCAACTTTCCAATAGACTCGTGGCATGCAAATGTTGACACTGCATGGGAAAATTCCACGTCGTCTCTGCTACCATCGTGTTGCTTCGCTGTCTTCACAATGGCGCCGCCATTTTCTCAAGTCCGATAAGCTGAGGCTGTCAGTGTGCAGTAGCGAAGGACTAGATGGGACTTCTGCGGCACTTTTCCATTCTGGTCTCACCGATGCTGTTCGAGAATATCGCCTCGTTCAATAATGGCTTGCAGATTGCCAAGTCCGCTCAGCAAGACGCGAAAGCTTGGCCTCTGCTAGACCCATGGAAATACGACGAGCCTCAGCTGTGGCTCCCGCTGCTACTGCAATGTCGTGTCCGGTGACCTGGTAAGCCGTCGTTTCTACCGCGTTGCTCTACCTCGGCCCTGTGGCAGGCAACAGTCGGAGTCCGTTTTCGTATACTTCGCCTACTTGCGGACGAACGATATCATGACAATGAGTCTACTGTCTGTTCACATGTCAGACCTTTGCTCTCGAGAACTTGAGAGGAACGCCGTCGCGAGACTAGAATGTCTTTCCAGGCCTACCCGCACATACGTTATTTGCAAACTTTTCAGCGCTCAGCCGTGTCTTCGCTCATCCAGAACCGAAAGCTTGTTTCTATCGCACGACTAACGTAAAGAATCACCCAGCGGAAGCCTCGGTTGGAGCATAAGAAGGTCATTGATGCGTACCAAGTACCCTAGCGATAGCTTGTCATGGTTTGTTGAGGTGAGATCTCATGATGTACTCATCATTGCTATGCATGTCGACTACGTGCTATCAATCACTACGAATGCCTATGATGCGTTCCAGATCTTTCGAGAAGACCCCCAATTAGGCTTTCTGACAACTCTGTCGAGGTCGGCGAGACTGTGTCTGGGCAGCTCTACAAACGAACATGACCAGTTGCCACCACATTCCGGACAGCGCGCACTCAAGACCTTTCCCGCGGTCATGAACACGAGGCCACGATGTGCGGGAGGAAGCGGATTCCGCCATTGCTTTTGCGATGCCTCGCTAGTCTTGCCCGTTTCCATTCCGCCAAGGAGCCGACATAAGAGAAAACACTCTATGCGATGAGTCAAGATTCCAAAGCTGTTTGTTGTTCTCGCCGACCAGAGGACGTCCGCAGACTCAACTCCCTGGGGTCTTGCGTTGTCCAGAACCTTTTCATTGCCGAGCTGTCATCGAAGTCCTTGTACGTTACACGCACACGAGGAACCTTCCGTTCCATAGTTTTGGTGAAGTTGTCTCTGGCTTCCTCGATATACTCGATCTCATACCGGTTTGGTTCAGCCGCCTCAGCTTCCTCGTCGTCCTCGTCATCAGAATCCTGGAAGAATCCTGTAGCGGACAGCAGTAGTTCCACATGCGTTAGATTCTCGAAAGCACGGAGCGTGGGACGGTATTCGCCCGTTTCATGATCCACATCATCGTCAGTCCCCGGATCTACTATCTGCGCTAGCATGTATAGATCCGAAGGATCGACGCCAATCTGTATGGAGTGTACTAAGCGAATCTTGTGCTTTGGTCCTTCACTATATATTATGTCCCAAAAGAAGGATTCGTAGTCTCGCAGGCAGCTGAAAGACCAGGTAAGGAATGGACCCGCCAGACTGATAGCTTCGGTGTAGATTTGTCGGCATACCGTAAGGACGCTGAATGGAGAGTATCGGGAAACCTTGCAAGCAGGTTTTGCAGTTCCCGTAAAGGTAAAGGTCCATATGAGATCGCGCAGTTCGCGGGGTAGACGCAGTAGAGGCGATTGAAGCGCATTGCGCTCAACGCTACTTGATGTCAGTATGTGATGCCTTGACGCTGGGCATAATGAGACTAACGCGGACTTTTGCCAATCGATCTTTGGCGTGACATCAAAGACTCCATTCTCTGTCCTTGACAAGGCTGTATGAGATTCCGATATCGGCGACATGTTGCAGGGCTCTGGGCAGACTTCAATGTTGGGTGTGGAAAGAGAGAATGATAGAGGCATCGGGATTGTGCTCACGGCGGTGTGTAGCTCCGTTGATGCGGGGTGATATCACCCCTCATGACCGACGCTCAGGAATCCACGGGCTCACAACACAACTAAATTTCACGTCCTACCTCCTGCGCGCCTTGTATATCGACCGTCTGTGATATCTACGACACTAAATGAAGACAGCCGGTAGCCATGTTGCAAAGCGTCATTATCTGGCATAACGTAACATCAAAGCTATCGCAATGATACCGTATACCAAAGTACCATCTCAATGATCTGCTCGAAGGGCCAGACCGCAGTCTGAGTCAAAGGCGCACTCTACATATTCATTTGGCATAACGCACACATTGGAAAATTGTGAAGCATGCCTACATCGTCCATCAGCATCTCAGCCCACCCAATTCGGCCCAGACAACGAGGGCCTTCTCAATCAACCCATAAAAACCTCTCCTTCCCAAACCCCAAACTCGATCCGCCCATCCCCCACCTTGCCCCTCTCCTGCTCAACCCACCCTTCCACCAACATAACAGCATGCCCTCTGACCAACGTCTCCCCCTCCTCATCAACCAACAAAAGCAGCACCATCCACTCCCCCCTCCTATCCTTACCAATCAACGGATGAGAATCCGGCTGCGCCTCCACCCCCGCCCATTTATACAACGACGAGTACGGCTTCAGAGCCGGCGGAACAACAGCTTTGAAGCGAGCAAAGAGAGAGTCGTGAAGACCCCGCGGCACAGTATCTCTCTCCGCCCCAACCCCAAGTGGAACATCGATATACACAGCAACAAGCACAGATTTCGGCGCTGCGCCCATCCGCGAAGCGAGATGCTTTGGTAGACGTTGAAACGGCATCTCACCTTCCCTTCCCAACCCCCCTACTTCTTCGTACACGGCGAATCTAGCATCCACGATGTCAAACACCATCTTCTCCTCCCCTTCCTCCTCTTCTTCCAGAAACCCCACGCCCACCTCTCCCTCCTCTAAGTTCCTGCTCTTTTCCAGGTTCAGTCTTCGACTGACACCCATGTATGCTTCCGTCTTTAGAAACGCAATGTCATCCATCAGGCACGTGTAGAAGTATTTAGGCATCGCGCTCTTGCCACCTTCTCCTGCTTCTTTCTTGTCATGCCCATACCCATCATCGCCCTCCGGCGCAACGAACCGCAAGTCTTGTGTGACGCGACCGCAACCGGTGTCGAGTATGTTGAGCATATCTCTGAAATGGAGTTTGGTCCAGCGGAGGAAAGTGGTGGCATTGGCTGGGGTGGGGTCGTGGAGGCGGGGGTGTACGAGGAGGAGACCTGGTTTGGGGCGAGCTTGGGGAGCTGGTGAGGGTATCCGGGATGGGAGGGTCATGATTGTGAGTCTTTGGATGCTTGCGATCTGAGATTGCGGGAGAGAAAGATGTGGCTAGTCGGGTCTTTATATGTATGTCCAGTTCTCGTTCCTTTTATGTTGCGCCCGCCGTCGTGTATCCTCGGACGGTAAGCGCGGAGTTCCGAAGCTGCAGCTGCATGAATATCCTGACTGCATACCGAACCTTAACTTCTTCCCGAAGGATTAACCTGAGTTGCTGCTTGGCTCCCGAGATGTGCAGCTCGGCTAGGAACGAGGTCTGGAGGTGCATGTCGCCAGGGTAGTCAATGTAGGTTGCGAGACGACGCACTGCACGCTCAACCATTCAACCCATGCGCAGAGGCTATACAATTCAAATATTTGATTCGTTTCAAAGAAACTAAGTAGATAGATGTGCACGTCTCGATCGACAAGGCCCTATTCTTACAACGCGGAATTTGCATCGCGTTTCCTCCCCCCTAGTCTCAATCCTCTGTTATCCCATTCCCATTCTCCCAGCTTGACAACACGCTCCAATCTCAGGTATACCGCCAGAAATAAAAGCAAGCAAGCACCGTAACTCCTGTCGTCCTGATGCTGATGCCACCGCAATGGTAAACGCCAATACCCCAGGCGTTCAAGAAACAATATGAGCGTCCAACCATGACGCGAGCGAGTCCAACCATTTGTATCCAGGGTCTGCCCTGTCCAAGTCGTCGGATGCCTAATGCGTCGGTTGCCGAGGTAAATGTAGGAAGATTGTACACTTTTCAATCTCGACATCCTCTTTCTTTGCAGTGCCACTCTCGGATTGAACCTTGCGCTCCTTCTCCGCGACGATCTCAACCTCGATACGATTGACGCCAGCTACGAGTTTGGCTTCGAACAGTGGCTCGCCCTTCTTCTTGCCACCCTCGTAGCTGGGACTTGGGCTTGTGCCGTTGATGCCTGCCGTGACAGGAACACGATTTGCTTCGAGTGTCTTATTGCCATTCACAGTGACAAAGAGGCGGTACATCCGGCTTGTAAGCGCGATAGGGACCTTGGGTACAACTTGAATGTAAGAGTTGGATGGTGCGACCACCATCGTGGCACTGTACATGGTTTTTTGTTTGTTCGCCAAGATGCTCGTAGACCATGGCTTCGACGGGTTAAGCGCTGGGTGGGTGTTGAGTGTGATTTTGGGTATTAGTGCTTCGTCGACGCCTGCGTTTGTTAATGGAAGATCTCTTGAATCAGGATTGCTACACTTACTCTTGAGTGGCACCTTTCTGAAACTGTCTACGCGGGCTACTGGTGGAGGCGCGTAGTAAGTTGGCGTCTGGAATGAGGGAACGTGATTTCCATTCTGCAGTCCAATACCGTTCGGATGTGGACTGCCGCTTGCCTGGCGAGACACACTCTGTGGAGGGGCCATGCTCGGATGTGGAGTCTGCGCTGGGACGCTGAGTCGGGCAGCCTGGCTATCTGGTGCGGTGCTGGCCGGCCTGATGGCACTCAGGGCAGGGGATTGGACGTCTTGCTTGACACCGTTGACGGCGGGCGGGGATCCTGCGGTTTTGTTCTGGGCAGCAGAGAGTGGTGCAATCGACGAAGCACCACCTCTTGGTCCAGTAAACGGATTGGCAGGTGCTGTTGGGGTCGCGGCTTTCCCAGGTGGGGCTTGAGATAATCGGTTGCCCACGCTATCGAGAACATGTCGTTGTTGTCGCTGAAGGGCGTCGTTGTCAACAATGACGCCGGGCGTCGCAGAATCGCGAGCACTTGGAGTGTTACGCTCTGATCCCGGGCTCGGCTTCAGCTTCAGCTTGAGCTGCTGTTTTGGAGCCGCGGCGGCGCTGGACATGTTAAGCTTCAGCTTCGGTTGCGTTGGCTCGCTGACTTTGGATCTGGCTTCTTCGAGTTTCTTGTTGAAGATTTCCTACGCCGGTCAGTACTCAGGTATGAGAGCATGCAGACAGTGTACGTACTTCAAGCTCGAGCGAGAGGTTGTAGATGTCGCTACCATCTTCGTTGTAGATACGAGCATTCTTCCAAATCAGACTGAAAGCTTCTTCGAAAGCGTCCCAGCTTTTGAACAAAGTGTGACCTGTCGGAGCCTCGCGTCCCACTACTCCGCGAACCTTCTTCTGTATGGCGGCCAACGACATGGGGTCTTTGATCAGCTGGTAGTAGTCCTTCAAGCTGCGCGACGGGAGGTTCTGGAAGGGTAGGAATATCTGCAGTCCTTGGCTGGAGAGTGTTAGCTGGCTGGTATTTCAGCACAGAGCATGCAACTTACTCCTCATAATCAAGAATCTCCCTCACGATCTGCTCCTGTGCCTGCTGGAATGTCTTGCCTGCATAATCAGCACTATCATCGTCCTCTTCCAGCGCAGCAGACGCCGACTGTCGCAACTTGGACGGCGCTGGTGTAGCCGACGCCGCGATGGCGGCCGCGCGTCGAGGGCGGTCGGCTGTATCTTGCGTGGCAGGTGTATGTGCGTGGGCGGTTCTTGGGGTCGAGGTAACGCGGGGGGAAGGTTTCGACGGGGTGGAGTTGTCTTCGCCCGGGATCGGGGTGGCTGTTGCGACATAGTTGCCGTCACGGTAGGCGGGATTGTGCTTGACCATCCAGTTGGAGGCAGTCTTGCGTAGACGCTCGGCATCTTGGTATATGACGGAGTTCTTGTCGTTGAAGGCCTTTGCGTTGTTGACCAGTCGTTTGCAGTCGCTCTCGACTTGAGCTAGGGACGCGTACTCGCCGTTGTTGAGTTTGTTCTCGATGGTATCAATAGCAATGGGCAGTTTCGTGAATTCGTAGTAGTCGGGCACTTCGGCCTGCATGCAATTGTCAGTGGACCTGGTGTATGGAGGGAGCGCAACGGGGACATACCTTGTCGGGGAGAGTGAGGAAGTGGACGGCGATGGGGCGTCCGCTGCAAGCTGTCAGTGGGGGTTCATATGTTCGCACACTGAGGAGTATGGAAGCTGCCAGTGCGACAGGCGTCAGAAGGGCGTCACGTACGTCTTGTCCTTGGCCTGCTTCAAGCTGTCGAGGAACTTCAAGCCTGCCGTCGTGGTCGACTCAACCGTCTCTGATCGGGAATTGGGCGTCTCGGCCTGCACGGAAGCGGTCTCCTGTCAGCATTGTTCTCATTGTTGTCTAATCCAATTCCCGCCATGGCTGAGTGCATCGCCGGCGCGCGCGTGGTGTTGAGGATTGATGAGGGGCCGACGGGGTGATGGCCTGGTCGTCGAACCCCCCAGGTGTCGCGCTGCTGGACTAAGGAGCATCCCGCAACGCGCCCATCACGCCTCGTCCATCTCCAGGACACGCCCGACGATGCATCGCCCACCACCACAGCCTGCACGTACCGTCCCTTTTTGTCGCTTCGCAGGGCGCCCGTCGTGGTCGCCCGCTGCAGCACTCGCGGCTTTGCGCTTGGCCGCGCTCTCCATTTCCGGTTGATTCGTGATCGCGTAGTCGGACTGAGTGGTTTGCCGAGCGTCTCGAGGCGGCTAGGGATCGTGGCGGCGGTGCAGTGAAATGCGCGTTCCGTCGTCAACCCGGTGGACGCGCCGCAGTGTTCAATCTAGGCTTCCCAGTTTTGCCAAGCCCCCGCGCACGGTCCGCTTGCATCACCAGATGCGTCCTCCACCACACCATGGCCACGACAAATAGTAAACACATGAACTTGCAGCATCACGCTTCAAACAATGTCATTCAGCCAATCAACTGTTTCTAGGTAGTGGGGCCTGGTCGCTATCTTCCAGGGGTATACTTGGGAAACGAGACCTCCGCTAATACTGCAGCAAACTCAACATGTTTGTAGGATCACGCCAGAAACAAGGAAAGTCGTCCAGAACTTCTCTCTCACTTCTGCACCGGCTCCGACGCCTTCTTCTCGAACTCTGCTCGCGCCTCCGCTTCCTTCATCTCGCGCACCTTGGCTAGCACAACTTCCCGGAAGATGGCGCCCTTTGCGATTCTGCTTAGGCGTCCAGGTCCCTTGCCTGTGTCTGCGTTCTCCTTGGTTGCCAAACTCTTGTCCTCGGAATGCGATGCAATGGCTTCACCGGCTGCCTCGCGAGCGTTGGCGGGCACGTCTGCCTCGCCTGGTACATCCTCTTCCTCGTCTTCTTGCATCTTGAGCGCTTCGATGCGGTTGGCAAGCTTGACGAGCTCGATGCCGCGCTTGAGACGGGCCTTTGCCGCGTACGCCTTGATCTCTGGCACCAAGTTGTGGTCGGTAGCAGTGCTTCCGCTGAGCCACACGTGTTTGAGGGCAGCCTAGTATTGTTAGTGCATTCCAACAGACCCTGACTGCTTCATCGTACTTCACTGGTTGGTCGCTTGTCTGGGTTGGGCTCTAGCAGCTTCTTGATGAACTCCTTGGCCTCCGGGCTCACTTCCTTCCAGTAGCGCTCGTGGAAGATGACGCGACCGTTCTTGCATTCCTCAATCAGGTCCGCAAGGTTCTCTGACCGGAACGGCGAGTATCCGCACAGCAGTGTGTATGTGATGACGCCCATGGACCACATGTCAACGGGCTTTCCGTGACCCTTCTTGAGCATGACCTCAGGAGCAGCGTATCCGAATGAGCCAGCCATGGTGGTCAGGACTTCGCTCTTCGAGTCGAGCATCTTGGCGATACCGAAATCCGCAAGTACGAGGGAGGAGTTCGCGTCGCGTGTGAGGTACAACAGGTTCTCTGGCTTGAGATCTATTCGGAATTAGCTGCTGTAGTCGCATCCGATCCGAGGCGGAGAATATACCTCTGTGAACGACATTGTTCTTGTGGAGGTAGTTGACTGCATCGAGTACTTGTCGGATTGTCTCAGCGGCGTCCTTTTCTGTGAACTTGCCCTTCTCGCAAATGCGATCGAAGAGCTCTCCACCCGTCGCCAATTGGGTTACAATGTAGTACTTGTCCTGGCAGGTGTCAGCTCCACAGTCCCACAGAAGGGACCCGTATCGCGCGTACCCTTGACTCGAACCAATCGTGGAACTTGACAATGTGAGGGTGCTTCATGCGCTG